GGGTGTGAAGTTGGTCCTGTCCTCCAAGGAGCTGTCTTCTTGTAGTCGTTTTCTGACAGTCTCCACGGCCTTCGTGGTGGGTATGCAAGTGAAGAGGGAGACTACATCAAAGGACACCATGGTTTCATCTGGATCCAGGGTAAGTTTCTGGACCTTGTCGGTGAAGTCGGTGGAGTTCTTGATGTGGTGTGGGGTGTTCCCCATGAGAGGAGCAAGGATGGTAGCAAGGTGTTTTGCAATGTTATAAGTGGCTGAGTTTATGCTACTGACTATGGGTCTGAGTGGGACAGCTTCCTTGTGGATTTTAGGAAGTCCGTAAATGCAGGGTATGGCATCTCCTGGGTAACGGCGGTGATATGTGAGGCGGTCAATGATTTTGTCCTTTTCAAAGTCTTGAAGGCAAGCTATAACTTTCTTTTTGTAGCTGACATTTCAGGCTTTTAGATCAAAACAAATGAACAGAAAGTAGATTCAAACTAACAGCTTTTGGAGAATAAACTACTACATGACCTCTGACCTTTGACCTGTATCTACAGCACTGACCTCCGACTTTCAGCTCCACTTGTTTCTTCAGCAGGATGTTTCCCTCGCTACTGTAGACAGTGCAGGTGTAGGTCCTGTTGTCTCCATCTGTGGGGTATTTCAGGGTCAGAGTGAAGTCTCCAGTTTTCATCAGTTCTTCATTCATCTTTGTTCGGTCTTTATACACCGTGTCCTGTTCTTCAGGCTGGTCAGAGCCGTTCTCATACACGTGGACCTTTCTGTTTTTCATGTCCATCCACTCCACTTTAGCATCTTCAGGCAGGTGAAATGTGGTTTTGAAGGGCAGCTGCACAGACTCCACCCCTGAATCCACCTCCACCTGGGGGACTGAGAGGACAACAAAGCACAACATGAGCTTGGATGGAGACATTTGTGTTGACTCTAACAGGCTGAATGCTGCTGCTTCACTGGGAGCTCACTGTTAGATAGAAAGTGGTCAGAGTGAAGAGGAGACGCAGCAGAAAGATGAAGACTGACAGGAAGAAAGCAGTGAACAGACTGTTGGAGCTGCTGTTAGTGGGACAGGACTTTATTCAGTCTCTGAGGACCAGATTTGACTTGATGAAGCAGAGAAACACAGTCTGAGTGTTTCTGTCACACTCACTTCATCACACAGCTCAGTTTGACAACAT